ATGGTTTATAGATGATATGTCTTCACGATGTCCATTTTCTGTTCATCGTATGGCAATCATTGGTTGTCAATTAGGAAAGAGTATTGGTGAATGGTTTGGTCCATTCACTGCATCCCAGGCCATTAAGTATGTAATTTATGTAATTTCATAATATACATTCTATATTTATCATATTATATCACATTATTTCACATTATATCATATTATATAATATCATATAATATTATATCATATTATATCATATTATAGAGCTCTAGTGGAAGACTTTCCAGGAGCTCAATTAAGTGCATATATAACAAAAGATGGTGTAGTTTACAAAAATGATGTCTACAAAACAGCAAAAAATAATAAACAGAACAAAGATTTCCAATCAATCTTAATTTTGGTGGCCATTCGATTAGGAATAAATAATTTAAACCCAATATATTATGATGCTCTCAGGGTAATTAAAATAATTCTTTTTTTTTTCTTTAAAACAAACAAATGTTGAAAAAAAATTCAAATTTATGAATAAAATAAAAAATCCCCATTATTATTATTAAATATATTTTTTTAAAATTTTTTCAGGCATATTTCAGATTTCCTCAGAGCGTAGGGATAGCGGGGTAAGTTAAATCATTTTGAATTATTAATTATTATTTTAATCGAATTAATCAAAAAATCTAACTTATTTGATATCCAATTGAAAAAAAAGGGGAAAACCTTCATCATCTTATTATTTTATCGGAACACAAGGTTTGATTTGAATAATTATACATATATATATTTAGAGAGAATAATAATAATTCATTATATTTTATATTTTTAGCCGATGGATTATTCTATCTTGATCCACATCATTCACGTCCTGCCATAGAATTGAAATCTAATGATCAACTTACCGAAGAAGTAAACATATATATATATATATATTCATTTATTTATTTATTTATTTAAACATTTTTTTGAGTAGATTTGAAATTTTATTTGCTGTATAATTTTTTTATTTAAAAAAATTAAATACTTTTACACAGGAACTATTAACTTATCATTGTGATGTACCACGCAAGATATCTATTTCACAATTGGATCCATCCATGTTACTTGGATTTTATTGTAAGACAAAGGATGATTTTGAAGATTTTTGTAGTCGAGTAGAAAAGGTCCGGCAATTTTTATTATTTCTATTGTTTCTTTTCTATTAATTTCTTTATATTTAAAAATATTCTTAAAAATATATTTAAAATATATTATAATATAATAATATAATGTTATAATGAATTTATTTAATATATTAAATGTTTATTATAGATCAGCCAACCAGTATTCACTATTGCACAAGAAGCACCTGATTACAGTGATGATGATTGCGGTGTATTTTCCGAAGATGATGATGAATTTGATAAAAGCAATGATAAAAGCGATGATGATAAAAGCGATGATGATAGCGATGCTGATAATAATTTCACAGAACAAGTAATTGAATTGGACAATGTCATCGATTGAAATAATAATATTATTATTATCATTATCGAATCGAATTATATGTAAATGTATTTTTTGGGATTACATAATTAATAAGAATATGGTTACAAATGAATGGATATATCAGGACATTTTTGAATTCTTTTAAATATATCAATAATTATATATCTTTTATAATTATGTTTAATATTTAACTCGATTTTTAACTCATGAATATATATATATCTATATATATTTGCGTTTCTCTTTTTTTTTTCTTGATTTTTATATTCAAATAAAAAATATATATGTATATATAGTATAATTTATTGTTTTTATTTATTTTCTTATTTGTTATTGCAGCGATAATTATTTCTACAATGAATTTTTCGTACGCTTCACACATCAGTAAACCAGTATTTACGATCGCACAAGAAGCATCTATGAATTCTCCGCGTATAAAAAGGAATCTATGATGGTATACGTGCGATAAAATTTTCTATTTATTCGGTTTTATGGCCTCGACGTTTCAAATATTATTTAATTTAAAGTTCTAAAAACTCGATACTACGTAATTTTTAAATAGAAAATTAGAAATAATAAAATCCAATTTTATATCTTATTAGAATAAATAGACATCACGCTAAACAATCCTTAATACTATACTATAAAAAATTTTTAAACACTCGTTACTACGTTACTACTTAAAACATTCATTTGACTTTCTACACGTATTCTTATTTTTATATTTAAATTAAATTATGGAGCAAAATACTACTACAAATAATTTAAATGAAGTAGTGAAATGAAAGTTCAATTTCTGACCGAAGTTGATTATGGAGAATATGGAGCATGTGAAGAATGTAGAAATAAAAATACAGACATTATTGATTGGTAATTCTCAACATTTTCAACAAAATTTTAGAAATTGGACAAGTGGAACAAAAATGTTATTTAGTCATTCAAGAGTCCCAATCAAATTGTACTACAACTGATTTCGTTGAATGGATTCCATATTCCAAATTTGAAGACATGAAATAGATTGATAAAGGAGGATTTGGAAAATTATATTCGGTTGTTTGAAAGGAAGGACCTATTGATAAGTGGAATATTCAATAAAATAATGGAAAAAATGGGTATATCATTAAAATCTTTAAACAATTCACAAAATATAACAACTGAATTTTTAAAAGAGGTAATTTATACTTATTTTATATTCAAATAATATTCTTTTTATAAACTTATAAGTTATCTTATGTTACATTTTTTATATTTATTTAGTTCAAAAAATTATTCAAAGTGTGAATTTGCCTCAATAGTACCGTGTTTTGATATTACATAAGATCTTGAGACAAAGAATTATATGTTTACTTTGGAATGCAATCTTAAAATTATATAATTTATTTTGTATTTCATATGGATTATAGGATTATATCAAATACATGATGAGATTTACATATTTAAAATATTCTCTTGTATGATAACGAATCATGCTTTATTACTGATCTAGGTTTATCTAAACCAGCCGATGAAACTGGAATTTCTAATGATGGTAATCAAAAGGGTTTTGGAGTAATTTCACATATAGTTTCCGAAGTATTATTTGATGATGATAATTACTCAAAGGCATCAGACAAATATGGTTTGACAATGATCAAGTTTGAAATATTAACAGGAATTTCTCCTTTCTATAATATTTCCCATGATATAGACCAAAAATTCCATCTCATATTGTTATACCTCAATTACTTGTAGACATAATGAAAAGATGTTGGGATGCAAAATCAGAACAAAGATCAACTCCAAAGAATTGACGATTGATTTTCGTAATTACAGGAATAATATAAGAGATGAAGTTAAAGAATCAGAAATGTATGAACAAATTGAAGAATATAAAAACTAACAATTTCAGTGGATAACAATAATACAAATAGTTCAACATATGAAATACATTCGTCAGAAATCTACACCAGAAGATGTTTAAATTTCAATTCCAAAGCCTAAGAATCTTAATGAAAATAATGATAAAAATACAAATGAGTTAACTACTAAAGTAAGCTTTTTTACGATATATTTAATTTTTAATTTAATTCAAATTTCAATTCAACGTTTATTTTAATATTAATAAATTTAATTAATTGTTTGATATTTTATTTTATAAGTTACCGATGAATTTAGTATAGAAATCCCATGAAGGGAATAACTTTTTGCGGTGAGTATTAAATATATTTTATTATGATGTTAAGTATCACCTTTTCTTTAATTGATTTTTACTAATCATTTACTTTTAATTTACCTTTAGTTATTTAAAATCTGATTCTTTTTATGGAGATAATTATTTACACAATGTATTTTCGTACGCAATTATTACGCCTGTTATTTATGATCTCACAAGAAGCAAAATTACATAGTAAGCCGTGTAAATTTCATAACAGATAAAAAGGGAATTTATCCTCAATTTCTATTCATTACTGGCTAAGAAAACTTAAATATTATTCGATGTTCTGGAATTATTACTTCCTATAGAATTTCCTAGGTGATTTTTTGAAAGTTTATCAAAAATTAAGTAAGAATTATTTATAAGTAATTGGGTTAGAACGTTGGGAAATATGAAAATAAATATAATTATTAGTGGGAAAATCATAACTTGTGTATTATTGTCGCAGGGTTGATAAAACCGAATGATTTCTTGTGCTGAGAAAGATGTTAAAAGTATTCGCATACCAAATATATAAATAAATAACATTAGAGATAATTTATAATATTCGTAATTCTAAAGAATTCGATTTTTTTTATTTATAAAATATTCTGTTAATTTTATAATTATTTACTAAATTTTTTGGCTACATATTTATTTATTAATAAAATGAAAAATGAATAATAATGTTATTCTAGTAATAATGAAAATAACCAAAAACTAAAACAGATATAAAAAAATGCATTAGAAGAATTTAAACAATTTTATTTCTAAAGAGGTAATATTATAATTTTTTGTCCCATGAAAGTTATTAAGTTACCTTCAAAGGTTTGAATACATAACATTTACTATAGAGGGAAAAAAATGATCTACCCATATCTATTATTTAAAAAATGATGAGAAATTCAATAAAAAGTGTTAAAAATGTGAAAAAAAAATGAAAGGGTTAATGGGTAAAAATAAAGGATAATATTTTCATACATTTCGAAAGTAATATTTTTCAAAGATGCATTTTATAAAATGTGAGGATCTATCGTGTTATTTCATATTTATTGTTGCTTGCATTCCGGTTGTTCTATTTAAAAAAAGGTGCAATTATAATAAATAAAATCAATAAAAAATTTATCAATAAAAATTCTCAACAAAAAACTTGATATTTACCTACCTGCCCATTTCTAATGTTCTGTGAAGGAATAAAAATAAATTTATAATAAATTTAAATGAAAATTTATAAAATGAATAATAAAAAATTATTTGAAATCTATTATATTCATTCTATTCCACCATCTTATTACATATCCAATGTAATGAAATGTGGTTTGATCAGTAATAGTTGCAACAAGGTGATATCTTAAAATATCTTAAAATATAATAAGACATCACCTAATTGCAATTGTGAAATTATTTAATGGCACTTAAATTGTCATCTGGTTAAATGTTCGTGGTGTTAATAATGTTCAAATACTTACAATATATATATATATATATCACCACGAACGTTTGCCAATGTAAAAAATAAAAACTTCACAATACAGTGAAAGAAGTCCTAAAACATTTACTTACTCCATCATCTTCTTCGTCATCGTCGTCATCATCATCGTCATCGTCATCATCATCATCCTCAACATCACCAACGAAGAAATTTTCATCATCAAATTCATCGAGAATTTCATCCTCATATTTCAATGCCTTACCCGTATACCAATCAATGGCACGAGGAATTAATTTTTCCTTTATATCTTCCCCAATTTGATAATCCATTTCAAGACGTTCATCTAAATTATCATCATCGTCTTCGTTATCGTCTTCTGGTTCCGCTGGTGGATTAAAGAATTGAAAGAAAGAATCTGTAGGTACTGTGGTCTTTACCACTCGAGTTTTATTTGAACCTAAAATCATAAAATTATTATTGTTATTCTATATTAATTTTTTTTTAAAAAAAAAGTAATAATAAAGCAATAAGTAATGGATAAATTGTTTTATTCATTTCTTCACGGC